ATGGAGTTTTTGTGATTCGTAGATTGTTAATGAGGCTGCAAAGTTTAGATACCGAAGTGGAAACCAGTTTAACTGTGGAGGTGATCATGATATCTTCTAGTGTCTTTCTTGGTTTGAGACACTAATTTTATCCATTTTGTTTTTACTCATTAGGGTTTATATGGAACTTGTAGGACTTACAATAAGGGCACCGTATGGGGCAGTTGGTCACGGTGGACATTACCACTCGCAGTCTCCTGAAGCTTTCTTCTGTCATGTCCCTGGTATCAAAGTAACAACCTCTTCTTATGCTTCTACTCGTTCATTCATTGAGATGATTCTCGAGCATTCGACATAACAATGTAACTGTTTCGGGGAATTAAGGTTGTTATCCCTCGAAGTCCGCGGGAAGCTAAGGGACTATTATTGTCATCCATCCGTGATCCAAATCCCATTGTCTTTTTTGAACCAAAGGTACTTTTTTTCGCTTACACACGAGTTTCTTGAGAGTGACTTCAAGAACCTGTGAAGAGTCTTTGAGTGTTTGTTCCTGTTCTTCTTCTTTAGTGGCTGTATCGTCAAGCGGTAGAAGATGTCCCTGAGGATGACTATATGATACCTTTATCAGAGGCAGAGGTATTTAAGTTCCACCTTTAGTGTCTCTTCTTAGTAGAAGATAAATCCCACTCTCAAATACTAACAAAAGCAAGTTTTGGTCAGGTTATAAGAGAAGGTAGTGACATAACCCTTGTTGGATGGGGAGCACAACTCACTATCATGGAACAAGCATGTCTCGACGCAGAAAACGTTGGTTTTTTTAATGTTTTGCACTTAACTTAATAAAGTAAATCAGATGATTGAAACACCAATGTCTTTTGCAGGAAGGAATATCATGTGAATTGATAGATCTCAAGACTCTGATCCCTTGGGATAAAAAAATCGTTGAGTCCTCAGTGAGGAAGACCGGAAGGCTTCTAGTAAGTTACGCTTCTCCGAGTGAGCAGTGTTTCTAATTGACAGAGAATAAAATGCGTTTGCTTGCTTCGGTTGCAGATTAGTCATGAAGCTCCCATTACAGGAGGCTTTGGAGCTGAGATCGCTGCAACTATTATTGAACGTTGCTTCTTGAGGGTAAAAACAAGTCATATTGATCTACAACATTAGTTTTTTTTTTTAATAAACAAGCCCTGTTTTGTTCTTTCTTAACTGTCTTTAGTGTTGCAGTTAGAAGCACCTGTAAGCAGAGTATGTGGTCTAGATACTCCTTTCCCTCTTGTGTTCGAACCTTTCTACATGCCAACCAAGAACAAGGCATGTTTTGTTCTTGGTCTCTCTCTGTACCTCATCTCTTTTGTTGTTCCTGTTTCTAATGATTCCATGGTTCACATTTGATGCAGATATTGGATGCAATCAAATCAACTGTGAACTACTAACCCCATCTTTACCCCATGTCTAATCAGTATGCTTGTGAACTTTAGTATTGTAGATGAATCAGAGTAATATGTTTAAATATGTGATTGGTGTTATATTATCATAACTTTTTTAATATGTTGATCTATGATCTTTAAAATCCCCATCTGTGTTCACAATCTCTGATAATCTAAACAAGGCTTTAGATGCTGCAGCCTGCAGCTGCAAAATTGAGTTAACATTGTACTTTTATCAAGTGTGAGGATAGTGCAGAAAACTAAGTGGAAGACATATCTTGAACAAAAAAAAGAACCGAAGAATTATCTTTGGAATCTCCACTACTGTATTTACAATGTTCTATAGAATTCTTAAACCATAGCACAAAAAGGTGGAAGTCTAGCTACTGTGAGAGCCTTTGTTCAAGGACAAAATTCTCAGCAAGCTTAGCAACTCCAAGGGGGTAAAAGACCAGGCTACTAGTTTCGCAAGGATCAAATCCGTGACCCTGTTAAAATCAAAGATAAACATAACAATTAGGTTAACGCGAGTCGAAAAATCAACCATTACTGAGAAAGATGAGGGAAGTTAAAGGTGTCTTACACACTATTGCTGGATCTTCTTGAACTCATTAAGAACAGGGTATATATTCTCAAAGGCTTTGTACGTCTCATCTCTTTTCTGATAGAGAGTAACACCTCAGGGTTTTTATCAGATGGCAGAAGAGCTAGAGAGAGACATAGCATGCATTTCTCGGGCGATTAACACAAAACCTAAAAGAGAGAAAGTGAGATATTACCTTGGCTCCTGTGATAACTATCTTTCCAGATACAAAGATCAGTAGCACAATCTTAGGTACTTTCATCCTGTAAATCAGTCCTGGAAATATCTCAGGCTCGTACTGTCAACATCAAAATGT